AAGAGTGTGACTGATCCAAGGTTGCCCAGTGAGCTGCATGGTTGAGTAAAGGTCTGAACCTGAGTCTGCCCTCCTAGTATAAAGCTCTAACCATCACATCACATTAATCCTCAGAATTATGTAACATTAATGATTACTTTTTTAAGCGAAGCATTTGGCTTGAAGAAGGTGCTTTCTACATAAGAATCCCAAGTTAACGAAGTGTTCCTACAAGCCATTAACTAAAACAAAATTCTAGTTTCTTCCCTTTAAATCTTAAAGCAAAATATATTTCTAAGAGTGGAAATGTATATGTCTCAACATTACCCGTATCTCTCCCAGAAGTAAACCCGAAAAACTCTTATGTAAAGTCACCTTGGGAAAGAGACACTGACAGAAAGCGAATGATGGCAAATAATAATAACAATGATGACTGTGACAACTGAAACCTAAAACACTTTCTGAAGTTTTATCCGCCCCAGTTAAGAGGAAGCAGTGTAATAAAGGCATGGGCACGAACGCTTACACCCAGAATTAAACTTCGTCGGTCTTAAAGGTGCCACTGGATTCAAACTTTGTTCTGTAACTTGTAAAGTAAGACAGTGTAGTGTAGCACGCAACATTACTAGAGAAGGCCTGGATTACAGTCCCTGATCAGCCGTAGACTTTGCTGAATGATTTTGAGCTAGTCACCAACTCTCAACATACCATACTTCACAAGATTGTTGTGAGGATAAAGATGAGGAAGAATATGATGTATCTTGGAGGAAGGACAGGACAATATTTATTTATTCAGAATAATTTCTGATTTATCCAAATCTGGGCAAATGCCCATTCTATTGGCTAATTAGTTATGCAGGGATACGGAGCGAAAAGAATGGAGGAAGGAAAGCACTGACAGATTGTGCCACACTGATGTCTCTTAGCATGGTATTCAAACAACATCGGCATCAAAATACTAACCTATGTGAAGGAATAAGCTTTTCAACCTACATACTAGAACTTCTGTCATTTTCTATATCAATTATGGCTACTAATGCTGCAATACAAGGTTGTTTTTCCATTTTCCTCCCCTTACACACACTGTTGGGAATGCTTATTCTGCAGCACAGGCAACTGTGGCATAGGCGTAATCTTCGTGGGGGCGGTGGGGCGTTAGCCCCTGCCGAAATTTTCAGGAAAGTGCTCAAACTTTGTTCTGTAACTTGTAAAGTAAGACAGTATAGTGTAGCACGCAACATTACTAGGGAAGGCCTGGATTACAGTCCCTGATCAGCCGTAGACTTTGCTGAATGATTTTGAGCTAGTCACCAACTCTCAACATACCATACTTCACAAGATTGTTGTGAGGATAAAGATGAGGAAGAATATGATGTATCTTGGAGGAAGGACAGGACAATATTTATTTATTCAGAATAATTTCTGATTTATCCAAATCTGGGCAAATGCCCATTCTATTGGCTAATTAGTTATGCAGGGATACAGAGCGAAAAGAATGGAGGAAGGAAAGCAGTGACAGATTGTGCCACACTGATGTCCCTTAGCATGGTATTCAAACAACATCAGCATCAAAATACTAACCTATGTGAAGGAAAATATCTTTTATAGGGCATTACTATGCAGGGTGTTATTATTGTATTATGCATACTCAGAAGTAAGTTACTCCTTCCAGGGCCCAAAGCTTTTCAACCTACATACTAGAACTTCTGTCATTTTCTATATCAATTATGGCTACTAATGCTGCAATACAAGGTTGTTTTTCCATTTTCCTCCCCTTACACACACTGTTGGGAATGCTTATTCTGCAGCACAGGCAACTGTGAGTGAAGCATTCGGAAATCCTCTGTACACAAAGCAGATGTCTATGCAGTAGTTTACATAAATATGGACTTTTGGATGCAATAGAGTTCTAATTAATTAAAACAATATTCCTTCTCTGGTGAAGGATGACCAGTCCAACACATCTTTTTTAGTAATTAATCTAATTGACTTAACACAAAGCAAGCACAAAGGCCTCTCACAGATCACCCACTCCCACTACATTACATCAGGAGGCATACAATTGGATTCAGTTTAGTGCAAGAGCATTTGATCGAGTCAACCAATAAACCTGTCCAAATGCTGTTATCTAACATTATTCACTATAGCAAATTATCAGTTACTTGGCCAAAGCCTGGCAATAATCCTATGCACCATTACACATAATTAAGTTTAATTTGAGGTGGTAGGTGCATAACGGAACACATAGTTGCTGCGCCCCGGATCCGAGCTCCTCTCATCTGAGGGGCTCGTTCGGGTCTCCGCTTGCGCAGATTCCCTCCTCCACCGCGGGCGGGCAAGACGCCCTCGGGAGCGACCCGAGGATGCGTCTGCCTTTCGCGGGAGCCAGACCGGAAGCCAAAGCCTGGCAATAATCCTATGCACCATTGCACATAATTAAGTTTAATTTGAGTTGGTAGGTGCATAACGGAACACATAGTTGCTGCTTTAATTCTCAGCAACTGGACAAATTCAAGTTTTCTGAAACAAGAATTACTAGACAAAGGGCATAAGTTTATTAAAAGTCCATTTTGCTTTCCGAAACTAAGGTATTTTACTACTTTATCAACTAATAATGAAGATTTATAAGTAGAAACAAACTGTAAATATTTTTATGGGCATATCCCTGTGTGTCAGACAAAACAAAAAGCATGTGTTGAAACACATCATCATACTAGATTAGAACTCTGTATTATAGAAATGTGTGCTGCACATCTGCTTTCAAATAAAAAAATTAGTAGACCAGACTAGCTAGAAACTGGATTTGTTACCTTAACAACTTCACCTCCATCAACTTTCATAAGTTGCCTCAGATTCTGTTGCAGCAGACTTGTGTTGGATCGCCACTTCAAAAGCCCCAGCAGGTCCACTAAGTGAAAAGGGGAAAAAAGTAATCAGAAAGGGGGGAAATTGATATCTGTACAGACAACAAGATGCTATGAGGCAGGAGAATTAAACAACTGCCAATCAGTTCAGGCAGTAAATATGGATAACAAATTGCACAGAGGCAGGTGAAAGACAGCACAAAGTGAAGGGATTAATACAGGATAGTGTAGCTACATATGGCACAAACCCTTCCAGAGCAAACAGAGCATTCAGCCATGGTATTCCCATATCTGTAGCACTATGGTCACACAATCAAATTAAGAGACAAAATGCCATGTCAGCAGCTTACAAAGGTAATGGGAATTTCCCTTTGATCTGCCCATCACACCTAACTTTGTTATTCAAACATCACTGGTTTAGCATGAGATCAAACCAAGGGAAACAGCAATGAATCAGGCTACAGTTATGAACAGGTAAGTTACATCAGGAAGAAGGGCAGCTAATTGAACTGATGATTATCCACAAGTTGTGTGCTTTCTTGTCTGCCACAGTTCAAAAGTTCAATATACTTTATGACACAAACAGATTTAGTTGGCATTTTATTTCAATTGTTCTGCTAGGATAAAAAACAGTTAGATGGCTGTTGTAAATAAAAGCTTAGAACAGCTTAGCTGTTGCAAATTTCACAAACTGTTAACAGACTATGATGTCCAAAACATTTACACTGTGAAAGTTATTAGGGAGACAAATATTGAACTGAAAAGCTGTTGAGAATAAATTTCATTATCATATAAAAACAGAATCTCAGCTCATTGTGCCTCCTTAAGACCCTACATTTAACAGCTGAATAAACTGAAAATAGGAAAAGGATCTGTAAAACATGTGCTTAACTACTGGCAGATATGCAGTGCCAAATCAAATGCAAACAGCATACATCCAGATCAATCAACATATGGGAAACATAAAAGCACTATCTCAAAGCTGCTAAAGAGAACCATAAAGTCATCCTTAACATACTGCATAAAAGCTGACAAAAAGAATATAGTTGAACATCAAAAATGAAGAAATTGCCATCTAAACTCAATATGATTTTTCTCTACCAATTAAGGTAACTTCACCACAGTATATTAGGCAGACATTACTGAGACCTTAATTTAAATACTGAAAATACTTTAGCAATTACAACTGCTTTGAATTGCCATAAAAATCTTTGTAGAGTTACAAATGAATGTTACAAAAGGGAAAATATCTAAATTTTCCCTTTGATGTCAGTTCAATGTCAAGAAATCAAACACCACTATACCACTGCAGCCAAAATCGACAATCCCATTCCTCTTTTCCTGACCAAGTTTTGTGCAACTGATCCAATGCTCCAGATATTATTACAAAGTAATGTGTTCTACTGTTTCAACAATCAAGCTGTTGACAGTCATTCCATGAATTTTCCAACTCACGTATCCATATAGTCAACTTTTGTTTCATAGCTGGATATAAAGATGTATTTGCTTTCTCTGAATAGCAGTTCCCTCCCTGCTCCAAGCCACATTCTACAAACTGGCTTAGAGAAAATGAGAGCACCTTCATTCAGCCTCCATTTCATCAATTCATTATCCAACTCAGAAGGAAGAATTTTTCTGATCAATTTGTCATAATGGCCCACACAAGAAGCACTAAAATAGCAATTTTGCACTGTTTTTATTACTTTAGTGTACTGTTTTACTTCATGAGCCACCTCAAGTAAGTCTCTGGAGAGGTGGCATTTAAATTTTCTAGATAACTAAATAAGAAATGTGATTTTTTTTAAAAAAAACACTGAGGCATTAATCGCATTGCAGAAGAATATTACCTGTTGACAAAGCTTGAAAAGCTTGATGTCCCATTTATCTAAGTTGTTATTGAAAGTGACCTGTCTATGAATGCTTCATAGCTTTCATATCTAGTTTTTCCTCTTGCCAGGGTACATATTATTCCTTGTGGGAAGTCTACTGAGATAGAGTGGGCAACAGGACTCCATTAAACCCTAAACTGTATTCATGCAAGGCTGGTTGTGTCCTATGCGTACATTAGCTGAACTTCAAGATAGTATTATACGCAAATACATACTGCCTTGGGATACCAAAGGCTGGTGAATCAGTAAAAAGAACAGTCAGGCATATACTTATTAAGGAAGCTGCCCATAATAACAGGTATTTCGATGGAAGTCTACTGGGTGACTTCTGACCAGTTACATACTCTCAGTCTAACCAAACCTATCTAAAATGGAGTAGAGGAGAAAGGTGAACTTTCGGTCCCCATTGGGCAGAAAGGTGAGGTATAAATGAAGTAAATAAATATAGTTTTAAGCTTGTCTAGTGTGTTTGAAGTTGGTATAGATTGTGTAGATTTTCAGTTTTATATTACAATATTGTGCTTTATGCAAGAATGAGCAGATGGTGAGAAAATGAAAATTGATGCTGCTTTGTCAGTCTTTTAACACCATGTTCATGTAGAATAGTTTAGTACAAATTAAATTTAGCAAGAGGCTTCAGATAGGAAAAGAAAAAGAATGCAGAGTTCTTGTTGTAGACAGATAGTGGCAAATTGCTTGGCATAAGGACAATCTGTATCTTTAAAAGACAGTTAGGAACATAACTGTCCTGCCACAGCTCTGTCTAGTCCAATTTTCTACTTCAACAGCAGCCAGCCAGATACCTCTAAGGAACTCACAGGTAGAATATGAAGGCAGTAGCTTTTTGCTGTTGTGTCTGGCTCTTCTGTGTAAAACTGGTACTTTCATTTAGCTATCTTGGCTAAGAGATATAGTAACCTAAAACTGTAAGCAAAAGGGATTTTGATGGGCCTCTTGGTACACGAAAAATAACACATGCTGCCATTGTGAATGCAATATAATTGTAATGCTTTGACAAATATTAAGGTATAAAAGAAGTAGGTAGGCATTCAGGAGGGAGGAACAGGACATGGTACAAGGCATTTTTTTTGCAAGATTTTTTTCCTGTCAGTAACAAACAAACATTGATTAATTAATCAAATTGATTAATCAACCAGAAACAAACATATAAATTGTTTGCACATAGCAACTAAAAATAAGACTACCTTAAGTCATTGATATTGAAAATTGTTTATCAATTCTTCTCAGGACTCCTGAGAATGGCTGGAGGGGAAAGGACAAGGAGGAGGAGGAGGAGGAGGAGATTGGATTTATACCCTGCCCTTCATTCGGAGTCTCAGAGCAGCTTACAAACTCCTTTCCCTTCACCTCCCCACAGCAGACACCCTGTGAGGTAGGTGTGGCTGAGAGAGCTCTTTCCAAAACTGTCCTTTCAAGGACAGCTTTTGTCACTTGTCCAAGGTCATCCAACAGCTGCAAGTGGAGGAGTGGGGAACCAAACCCGGTTCTCCCAGATTAGAGTCCACACACTTAACTACTACACCAAACTGAAGTAAATAAATCCCATTCTTAGGCAATTTGACAATTGCAATTTTGGAGGGATAAAGTAGATTATCTGGATCTCCATCTCTTGGGAAGGGGTAGTAGCTGACAACCAGGTTAGCTGACAACCTGTTATTGGAGTTTTATGGAAACTGATTCTGATCAAATTTTCAGCATCTTTTGTGACCACTTCTGAGGAAGCTCTTGTTATAACCAGATTCCGCACTGGATCAACTGAATCAGGCAAAAATGGAATGGATATGGGGGAACAAACTGAAGGTTAATCCATACAACATGGAAGTCTAGGGGTGTGCGTTCAGTTTATCCGAACAAAAACTCCCCCAAAGAAATACCTTACCAGTATTTTTCAGGGGGTTTTAAGTCAAAAAGAAATTAGAGTTTCTTTTCAGCTACAGATACAGCGGAGCCCGAATAAGTTGATATGATATGGATTTTATTTGGGCACAGTTATGAGAAGGCATTTAAAGAGACCAATGCCTTCTGAGTTCACACATCAAGTCATGCCACCACCACAGTGCAATTTGATGAGTGAACTCAGAAGGCACTTAAAGAGACCATAGCCTCTTTAATTGCCTCCCCCCCCCACTGAGTAATGGAAGGATGGGGCACCTTCTTTGGATGCCCATAGAATTAGACCCCCTGGTCCAATCTTTTTAAACCTTGGGGGGATTGGAGGAGAGGCACCAGCAGCTTTGCTGCAAATTTGATGCCTCTACCTCAAAAACAGCTCCCCCAGAGCCCCAAATCCAAATGGAGCTGAAAAAATTCAGGTTTCCCAAATATTTCCGGAATCCAAATACCATACTGGGATTCAGGAATATCAGAAAATACCCGAACCCAAAAAATACTGTTGAGAACTTGCCTCTTTCATCAAAAGACCTGATGTAAAGACCTGGTTTATATTCTCTGATAAGAATATAAGAAGAGCCCTGTTGGATCAGACCAGTGGTCCATCTAGTCCATCATCCTGTCTCAAACAGTGGCCAGAGAACAAGTATAAAGAAAACAGTCATAATGGATCTCAGGCGTCTCACTGAAACAAATACAGAAATTGTTTATAATACCATTAGCACATAATAAAGGGACAGCCTGGGATCCATTAGAAGGTTAGCAGCATATTTGAGCCTGAACATTTACTGAGATCTGCGTCCTATCTGAATGTATTATCTTTCATGACTTGTTGTAAAGCACTTTATGAACAAGAGAACTTTTGTACTACTCTAATATTTCCTGAGGAAGATCCAATTTTGAAACGTTGTTGTATAATCCGGAGACGACGCTGATGAGGTACCTTTGCACTAGGATTTTCTTATTATTTGTAGGGATTTATTTATTGTGTTGTAGTGCTTCAGACTGAAATACATAGAAAGCATTTTCTTTGCAAGTCTTGTTGACTGCTTGATTTGTGGGTCAGACTCTCATGACTGTTTTCTTTATACTTGTTCTCTGATTTGGTCGTGTTTGTCCACATTTGTCTTCAAACAGTGGCCAGCCAGTTCCTCTGTTATCTTTTTTTGGTAGTGTTAATAAATAGTAATCTTGGTTGTCTTAAACGGACTTGTTTCTGTGATCTGAATTTCAGATTGTTGTGAATGAAATTTGAATCCCTTTTGAGGCTAAAAGCAACCAAATTATTTTTCTAAGTGTTTGGTGGAGCAACAGACCTCATTATTATCTTCTGAAATTATTAAATAATCCTGTTAAATACTGCTGGTCACCTCTGGAAATATGCACATCTGAAAACATCAAATTGTGTAAAGCATTTTGTTGAAAGCACATAAGTTGACACTTTTCCTCCACTTTCTCCTTCTTTAGACCTGGAGTTAATAAAACTCTGAAGTCTCTTTAAATCATAAAGGGATTCAGAAAAGAAGAGCTTCTTTTCTCCCTTGGGGGAACTGAAGAAAATTACAGGAGTAGTTTCCTATCATTTTCTCCTTTTTTACTGAAGCTTGCATTGACTATTTTCAAAAAGAGCATGGAGGTCTTTTCAAATGACACAGTATCACTTACACAGCTTTCCATAAGTTCAGGTAATTGCTATCCAATTTTTTTGTAATGCATACGTGGCGCCTATGAAGTTGTCATCACCCTACTTTAAGACAAAATCTCACTTTTTTATTGTTCACCCGTAATAAGATTTCTAAAGAGATAAGGGCTGGGCCTTGCTCAAAATATCTCCTAAGTGTGGGTTTCATTAAGGAAACTGAACAGGAACGCTCTGGGTGGTCCCAGTACCCAGAGTGTAATACATCAGCTCATAATTCAGGGCCTGGCAAATGCTTTTCCAAGCAACAAATTCCAAGGCAGAAACTGTTGGCAAGGACATGCAGGTGGGGAAGAAAGGGGAAGAACAGAAACTTCCTTTTTTGCTTCCCATATTATGTTTGCCTGACTGAGAGAGAACTGAAACTTCTTTGCTGCTTCCACTGCTGTCCAAAAAAGGCACTATGTTTGCCTGACTGAGAGAGAAGAACTGAAGCTTCTCTGCTGCTTCCACTGCTGTCCAAAAAAGGCAGGTATCTGTGTATCTTAAAGGATGAAAAAGATACAACGGAAAAAGACCCTCTCACACAAAGACAGTGTACATCTCTCAGAAATCAGAAGAGAAAGGATGCAGACATTCTTTATCACATACAAGTTGAATAAAGTCTGTTTCCTAGAATCTGAACATATTCCTCACCATTTTGTGTTAGCTTTGTTGAACAAACTAAAGTGGAAATCTGGAAAGAATCTTTACTGATGGTGCAGCTTCCAAGGTTCTGCATGCTCTTGCCAGCTGTGGAGTGACCTTTTTCTTCCAATTCTATTTTAGTGGATGGTAAGCTTAAATACGTTGATGAATCTTCTAGCTTCTTCACCTCTGCCTGCAATGTTTCCCCCCAAAACAAAATACAAAGCTGAAGCATGAAGCTAAAAACATTTCTAAGAGACAAACATGAATTTTCCCAAAGCTAACCCAGAGCATTTATTTTCCCAGTCCATTGTGTATAAGAGCAGATGCACTTAACCATTTATTTCATTTTTAAAGAGATGGTAGCTTGAAGACACTCTTCCTTCAGTGCCTTCAAGGACCAGAGCAAGCAAGTCACATAACAAAATGAATTTGTATATATGTGAATACAATGAATACAAAAAGATTGCTGCGAAAGTTCACTGAAATATACAAAAGATGTTCAGTAGAAAATTCAACTTTTCATGATGTTATTTAATTCTTGTTTCCAACAGGTGCCAACAAGATGCACAGCACAGGAACAGGACGAACACTTCTCGAGTGTATCTGCGTTCGTTTCGAGATATATTCTTTATCAAACTTCACTTTTCAATGATCTTCACACAGTTTAAATCACCACAAGGGAATCCATACATTCAAATTGGCTCACAATTGTTGCTGTGCCCTGAGTTTATATATATGTGAATACAGACAGATATTCTTATTGACATTGGGAGGGGAAACAATGAAGTAAAAGACAAAGCTGGCAAGTATATGGCTTAAATATTTTCAAAAGCCGCAAATGTTTTCAACCACAAAAGCTCAGCGGGTTCAACGAGCAGTACAGCTATTCCTGAAGCAGCAGTACAACAGCAAGATTTGGGTCCAGTAACACCTTAAAGACTGACACGATTTCCAGGGTATAAGCTTTGACTTTTGAAAGCTTATATCCTGGAAATCTTATTGATCTTTGAGGTGCTACTAGATTTGAATGTTGCTCTTCTACTTCAGACCAGCATGGATCACCACCTGAAGCTGTGCAATAGCGAATTTTTACTCTTACGTCTGACATACACATATAATTCAATCATAAATACAAATTATACTTCAACTTCACATTCCCCTGTGCCTTTCAACTCTCCCAACAGATCAAAGAGAAATACCTTGTATACTATAAGATCATGCTCTCCGTCCCGCAGAGTGGTGCCATCGTATCTCATCAGTTTAACAAAGGCCAAAGCAAATATCTTCTCAGACTTATCTTTAGCTGTTTAAAATAAAAACAACCAACCAATCAATCAATAAAGTCTATATATATAGCCCTTTCTCATACCAAACATAAAGATTTGGTTAATGCTTAGAACTTACTGGGGTCATCCCAATAAGGACAATTTTTCAAAAACTATGTACAATTAGTATTCACTGCCTAGTAGGTTGGCATGTATACATCCAGGGTCTACTAGCACTTGCTGGAGATGTTCCTCCAATCAAGCAAATCCCATACATATATCCTGGACCTGCCCTGTTGTTGACAAAAAGACTGGATAATTTACAAATATTATTTATGATCTTACAGGATATAAACTAGAACCTATAATTATGCTGCTGTTATCTAAAAGAATACGTCTTGCCACAGAAATAATAGTTTATTAAACAGCAGTATGATCATGTGTTACATCCCAGAAAGCACCACCTATAAATGACTGGATTGGAAGAATTCGGGAAAAAACATTTGTGTCTAAATTAACACATCAACACAGAAGTCTTGAAATTGTTAACGGAGAAATGGTCAGTGATCGTAATAGCATAGAATAATAAAATTAAAGATGGCATTAGACATATGTTTAAAAGTTTTGTGAAATCCATGAAATATTTACTTCTGTAAATTTTTTGTAAAAAATAAATCTAAATAAGAACTTATTGGATCATCAATATGTGTAATATGCTGTAAATACTTAAGAAATTTAAGGCACAATCCAGCTGTCTGTCTGTACACACAGTATCTCACAATAATAATTAATAATAAGTACTATATGGCAGTGTGTGTAGTATAGCCAGGAGATCCTAAGATTGTCTAGCAGCCAGAAATTCTATCTCTTTTATCATTATGCAGCACTAGGTGGTGAGTTAGACTGGTTTTGTTTTTTTAAGCAAGAGCCATTTCAGAGGTGGTTTGCCATTGCCTGCCTCTGTGTCACACCCCTGGTATTCCTTGGAGGTTGCCCATCCAAATACTAGCCTGGGTTATCCAGAAGCCTCCCCTTATGGAAAACCAGCCATGAGACCCAAATGCACATGCCACCAACACTTGGGCACAGCCTGAATGAATCACATGCTTACAAAAAACACACTGCTGTACAGCAGGGTGCACCAGATGGATACTAGTTACAGAAAGTCCTCTATACCTACCAGCAAGGAATCAAAACTTCACAAGCACACAAATGTTGGCCAAAGAAACCTGTAAGAAGATTCCCACATCCCTAGCTTACTCGTTAAGGGCATTTAGTTCTCTTAACAGCTGATCTGGGATGGCTTCTTTGTCCTCCCTCTCCAAAGTAACATGAACCAACCAGTAGGGTCTTTGGTTACCCCATGCTTTTCAGTATACCCACTTCCTCCTATGAACTACTTTGCCATGGAACTAGCACGAGACTAGACACCGGCAACACTGGCCCCACAAACAAGGGCTACATCTTGTTGTGATCTTCAAGGAATTTTATATATACATGGGAAAGGTTGTTAAAGAATGGACGCATGAACAAGAACGCTGATATTTATGAAATTCTGAGTTAAATACCTAAATATCTCTTTCAAAAAAGACTTTTTAAATTAACTTTGCAGGATAATAATTTGCAAAGCTGCAAAACAGCTTTTTGTCATCAGCCTTGGCCTTCTTCAGAGGGCAGTTTTCTAGTAAAGGTAAAGGTTCCCTTGCTCGAAAGCCAGTCGAATCCAACTCTAGGGTTGCGGTGCTCATCTCCGTTTCAAAGCCGAAGAGCCAGCGCTGTCAGAAGACATTTCCGTGGTCATGTGACCGGCCTTGACTAAACACCAAGACGCATGGAACGCTGTTACCTTCCCACCAAAGTGGTACCTATTTATATACTTGCAATTTCTTGCTTTCGAACTGCTAGGTTGGCAGGAGCTGGAACTAGAGACGGGAGCTCACTCCGTCTTGCGGCACCCGGGTCTCAAACTGCTCAACTACTGACCTTCCACAGCCTGCAGTTCAGCGTCTTAACCACTTGAGCCACCGCAGCTCCCTTTTTTTTCTAGTACTCTCTCTTTAATACTTTCTTTTCAGCTCCTTAACTAAGAAATAATACTTTCGTGGTTGTTTAAAGTTTTTAAAAATGCAGAAGTACAAAACTGTGGTTACAGGAAATAAATGAACAAACAAAAATCTTCTCCCCTTTAGCACTTAATTAAAAGCCTGAAAAATAATCTATGCTGCAGTGAAATGTTCATGCCTCCCTTTTGGTTAATCAGCTACTTTTCTCTCATTATTATTAATAAAGAAACTCACTAGTGAAAGGCAAAAGGAAATAGAAAACAGAGATGAGAAGTAGAAACAGGTGGGCAATGCTCATCAACTCCACAGCATCCTAAAGAATCTGTGAAGCAGCACTGTGGCAGTCATGAGCCTTAACCCATCGATGAATACAGTAACTGAGAGCTTAATACATTTTGGCCACCCATGAGCCACTGCAACATAAAGTGAGTACTTCCTACTGAATCAATTTGGAGTTCAGTCATAAATATGACACTAATTCGCTACACATTGTTTTCATTAGCAAAATTGTTAAATATTCTGTTAGAAGAAGCACTGCTTTCATCCATGTGACTAATTTTTACATCAAAATAGATGCTTTCCGTTACACCAGCGTCAACCATTGTAGGGTAGGTGTCAAATATTAAACGCATCCAGTGAAGGTTACATGATTAAAGCTTTGATTCTTCTGTTGATATTATGAAAATTCAAACTGCAGATTTTTACAAGATTCAATCATGTTAGTTAACACAAGTATCTCATCACATGCATATGAAGCATGCTCTATTACTCAATTACATATATGAGCAGGATACTAGGGCCGTCAAGAATATTACTGGTTACTTTAATTTGAAACTGCTAATTGCCTAATAGTATCAGTACATGGCTAATAAATAAGACACCAGCAAGCTTTTCCAAAAGCTGGACTTCATAACCAACAAAGACCACAGCACCACACATATGTTATTCTGAGCAAGTCACTGTACCTTTTCCTTAAAAATACTACTACTTACCAACCTTCACAAAGAGTACAGTCAACACCAGCAACTAGCTTACTTGGAGAAGTGATAGGGGATGGACGTAAATCAAAAAGCAGCCAAGAGAAAGGGGAAATGAGACATCAGAGGAAAAATCCTCCAAAAGAAAGAACAGTTACTGCACATCATTCACAAAGTTGGATCAGTGACTTCCACAAAACAGACTTTGCCACTAGGGAGTAATAGAAGCAGAGAAGCCTGCATGGTAGAGCGGTTAGCATGACCAACCAGGGGTGGGGAAACACAAGATTCAAACCCAAGCTCAGCTATGGAAGCTTTGGGAGACCCTGGGCCAGTTATTCTCTCTCAGCTTAACGTATCTCACAAGAGGGTTGTGTGGATAAAACGGATGAGAGGAGAACTATGTATACTGCCCTGAACTCCCTGAAGTAAAGGTGGAATAAAAATGAGACAGGTAAATAAGGAAAACACGCAGATGTAATTACTCACAGTCCTGTGATGACCTGTGTCGAAATGTAAACCTCAAGTGGCTGCGGTTTACATCTTCAATGGGGATTGCAACCTTCGCAAAACAAACAAAATGTACACACACAGATCACAAAAAAGCTAGTAGCATATAAACTAGCTTGCATATTCACTAGCTTGCCAGCACATACCTACATTAGCCATCTGGCATACAGAGCAGCTTGAGAGAAAGAAAATTTTGCATGGCCTCTAGTCCAAATTACAAGAATCTTCTCTGTCTGGTAAGCAGCAGTAACCTTGACTCACCATGGGCATAAAGCTGTAGGATCAAGCCTGTAAATAGCTACTTACCATCAGACTTCCAAAATATCCTTTAAGATTTTTTTTTCAAATACCACTTATTGCTGTATTATAGGACTATGTTAGCAAGAAGCACTTTTCTTCATGATATATTTACAGATCAGCAAGGTTACTTTTTTAGAGTTTAAAAACAAACACTAGAGTTTAAACACACCATCTAGGATGCAACAGTACCATTTTGAAAAGCAGGAACAACTCTCAGGCAACTCTACAGATTTATTTATTTATTTATTTCGTTAGATTTTTACTCCGCCCTCCTAGCAAAGCCGGCTCAGTTATCATTTTTCTCCTTTTTTCCTATCGTAATTCACATTAACCCAGAATTAAACTGCACATGTTGAATGACACCTCTCAGGGTCTCAGCACGCACCTACAACACCTGCTAAACCTTTGTCAAGGTGGTACCTTGGCTTTGAAAAAGGTTTGGACAGGCCCACTGATCTCCCCTTTCTATGCTGACAGTGCTTTTAATCCATCACTTATTTTTAGCTTTTCGTTTATATTTTTAGTTGTTTAATCTTCTAAACGCCAGTATGGTTTATTAACACTGGAGCTCAGTTTTTATTTTTCACTTTTACTGTTGGTTTGCTTTTTTACTAAAAATTCGTTTTGGCTGTTGCTGCTTCTAAATTGTTTTTAAATTTAGGATTGCTGCAATATGTTGCCACAACTGTCAACTCAACTTAACTGCTCTGTCTCACCAGTCTTTTCATGTCACCTGTTCTGGGTCCAAATTTTTATACTCATCCTCTCAAATATGTCTATTTTTCATATTCCTCCCAAGAATTTCACAATAGTTTCATCTCTATACAAATATTAGATCACCTCACAAGGTCTAACTATACCCACATGCTTATTATTCTGTCATTTTTGGCTTGTACTAAGCAAACACATCGACCTTAATACTTCTGTAGGATAGGTCCTTTCTTTAAAGTCAGAAGAAAATTATAGTCATTGAATGACATAATTATCTTTTTTTGGTATTTTGTGTGTGTATATATACATGGGAGAAATGACATAATTCTTGTCTAAAATCAGATTAACTGACCAACATGCAATTCCAAGTAAGGGAACACTATTAAATATCCAATTCTTACATCTACTTCCTGGACTTGAAGATACCTTTTATTCTTTTTGAATATAAAAGCAGAAAAATACACTGTACGCTTGAGAGTTAAGGCAGCATCATGTGTAACTCTTCATATACGGGTGCCATCAAAAGTTAATGAGCACAACTTTCCCATTTTAGTCTATCACTGTTCATTCTGTTGCCGTGGTGGTGCCACAATTATCTTCCCCACATCTACCCTTCTTTTGCCATGCCCACCTTTAAAGCTCTGACTTTGACCACTTGCCTTTCCAGTACAAACAGTACTAGGTGTCATCATTTCCATTCCACAAATGGCTGTTCACATTCTTAACTTGCCTAATCTTTAAAAAAAAAAACACCCGCCCAGTTTTATGATGCACTGTGCACATATAAAGACAACTTACTAAGGCCAAACCCCTGGACTTCTCTAACCATCTTCATATACTCTCCTTTGTCTAGAAGATCACTCTGCAAAATACTGATGCTGTAACATCTTTCTCACAACTATCAAAATTCCTCTTCATATCCCAAAGCTCTTCAACTACTATACCATCTGGAAATATGCTGTAAAACAGTAGCTTCACCAAATGCATATGCAAGTATATTCACACACAATTTTGTAGTATCACCCTTGCTTCCTTTATTCCTTACCTTTGTCTTTTTACCCTTTCCCAATTTAAAAATTAAACTCCTTTGGGTTCAGAATGTCATTAATATGCATGATAACAGCACGCATTTATAACAATAATAATTAGCATTTACTTTGGCTACTGGGGTTCTGCTTTCATTAACAATGCATGAGAGATCCCAATAATCTAAAAGTGCATTTATATAGTTTATAGCAATATATATTTTTATCCTACATTATGGCCACTTGCTATACTGTTTAGCTTTCTACTGCAGGAGAGATACCAGACGGATGTTGGAATAATTCTTTCAAAGTTGTCTTGACCAGAAGACTGGAAGGTAAATATATTCCACTCAATGTCTTTATCTATGTTGTTCCTTAGCAACCTTCAAAAGCTTTTCTAGCATAGATAGCTTGTTTACTCTGACAGCAATATACCAAGTCTATCAATATGATTTGCTCTCTCCACCCTCCCTCTCTTTAAAAAGAAACACCTTAATGCCAGTCATACCTTCATAGTTTCAAACCAGCGAGGTTGTTTTACTTGGTAATATATCACAGACTTATATTCTGAAAGAGCTTCATCTCCAGCACCTGGGAAGATCACATTCTTTAACAAAAATATAAACAAAGAAAGACATATTGATTAAAACCAATTTCTCAGTTGCCAAAAGCTACTATGGCTGCGATCACATGGAGCATTAGGCACTCTAGAGAGACGGAAGATAGGCGGATTTTACAGGCGCGATCTCACCGCCACATCTGGGAAGCGCTGAGCTCCCATGGCGAACCCGAGGCTTCCCGCCGAAGACGCGCGGTTAAAAACTAGTACCTCGGAGGTACTAGTTTCCGGTAACCGCGGGGCAAGGGCGGGCGTCTGATCGCGTTTCCGGTGGCAGTTCCGGCGCCTGCCCATGCCCCCTCGTATCAAGGTGTGTTTTTTTTTCAACTGTCCATGGGATGCGCACAAGCACTCAACGGGGCATGCGCACACTTTGGTGTCCGGAAAACAAAACACCCGCTTGCCGCGCCGCTACTTTGCCGCGGCGCAGGATTGTGGTGTGCTCGGCACCTCCCCCCTTCCACGGGACCTCCATGGTACATCTGCTGGTGCAAACGCGCGTTATTTTGCCCTGGGGCAAACAACCACGCTTCCCCCCCCGCGATATCCGGCCCATGTGACCGGGGCCTATAATACTTAAGAAAAACCACAAGTTTAAAAGCTTCAGGTATCACAAATTCCAGCCAACAATGGCAACTACTTGCACAACAGTAAATATATTTATCATAAAGAAAAGTGAAATATGTGGATTAAAAAAGGTAAGATTCAGATGGTCAGCACAACAGACAATATTTTGTTGTCTCAGACAACATATAGGAAAAGATTTCCAGTTAACCTGCAAGATGAAAACCTTTCACAGTAAATACCTCCAATCTTTTGCCATCTTCATCATAAACAGATACTGTAACCTCTACATTCTTTGCAGTGGTTTTGCTTCCTTTGTCAAAGTCTCCTTGAACTAATGTAACATAGATATCATTACGGACATCCCCTAGGAAAGAGCATATGATTAAAAATTTCAAATAAACAGGATGTAAATGGAAAAAACTCATATGGATTATACTTTTGATAATAACTATTCTTTGTGGGGGGGATCATTCCACTCCATAATAAAGAATGGATTGTAGGAAAAGACTTGTAAAAAGAATTGCAGAAGTGTATCTTCCCCACCTTGCTTCCTCTATCAGCCCCCTGAACAACCTGAAATCTTCCATGGACGGGGGTGAACCTCATATACAACATGCACCAAAGCAATTGGGGCTGCAGTAAGGAGAAGAAAATCAGGCAAAATTTCCTACTCCTTCCTTTTCCACTAACACCTGCTCTGAAGGAGACAATTTCACCTAATTACCCCTCCCACTGAGGCAGCTCACAATAAGCACTCAATTACATTACTATATACTAGGGTTACCACGTCCTACCTACCTTTCAAGCTCCACCCCGACACAAGGATGTGTCGCCAATGTTGGGGGGTGACACTAGTTTTTGGGCAGAACTCTATGGCTTTTTGCCCTCAAAACCATAGAAGTTGCCCAAAAACTACAGCGTAACACCCCCCCCAACACTAGCAAAACCTGGAAGTGACATCATTGGTCAGGGACATTGCCTGGTGACATCCCTGTTTGGGGGTGGGGCTTCCCCCACCAGCCAGCTGGTCGGTGGCAGATCAAAGCCCTGAAAAGTGGGGGAACCCCCGCTGGGACCTGGAGGCTGGGAACGCTACTATATATCAAGCATATAAAGTACTCAATTACAACTACATCATGTTACCATTATAGATACGTACTAAATAAAAGAGCAATCATAACAGCAGTTAAATTAAAACCAAAACAGGACAAGTAGATGAAGAGGGGTATGCCTGTCTATCTTTCAAGCACAAGCCAGGGACAAATGTCCTAATTAGAGTCTAACAGGTAGTGGGCAAAGAAATATAGGAAAACTTCCATAGATATTAGGTTTACATCTTTCCAGTGAATTCAGATGTACATCTGTGAAGAAACAGACTTTGAGTTTAAGATATCTTACTGTACAAATGACAATATTCAGTTTTGAATATATACACCTTAACACATGCTCATTAGCGCTGCTTAGATTGACCATCATTATTTAGTTTTAAGAAAAGGTATGATGTGCATTCAGTTACGTAAAATTGGATGAGTTTCAGAAACTCACTGATAGCTCCTACTCTGCAAAACTGTCTTCCAGAGGGTATCTGCAGGGTGTCAATTTTACCAACTTTACATAAGCAGTACTGAAGAATACAGCAATTTTATCCTTTTCCCCTGCTCCGCTGCAGTCCTAACTTGAGGTTGTTGTCACCCACCTATCAACCCAAATAATATGTCAGGGAACCTCCCACAATTTGTCTGAATTGTGATTGTGTTTTAATGTTTATTATTGTTTTAAATTGTTTAAATTTTAACTGCAGTTATTGTATTTTTCTATGACGTTACTCACCGTGAGCTATAAATACAAATAAATAAATCAAATTATTACTCCACATGAATTTTGCAGACCCAGGAACAAACTTTTCCGGGCCAGAAAGGACTGATGGGTGGTGAGAGGGAAGGTGGGCATATCAGTTACCATTAGTACCTAGAGTTACCAGCTCCAGGTTGGAAAATACCTAGAGATTTGGGGGGGTGGAGCCTGAGGAGGGGTGGTTGGGGAGTGTTGGGACTTAATAGGATATAAAACCATAGAGTCCACCTTCCAAAGGGGCCATTTTCTCCAGGTGAACTGACCTGTTACCTGGAGATCAGTTCTAATTCCAGGACATCTCCAGCCACCACCTGGAGGTTGTCACCCCTATTAGTATCTTCTACTGATGGACCACAGGATTCAGTTTAGTCATTCCGGCAAAGTGTCAATGCTGTTTGAGTGTGTGTTCTAAGAGAAACCAGCAGTTCTGGAATTCTGGAAATTATAAAATCCTTCTAAATAGTCATGTGGGACTAGTTGGATGCTACTCACCGATTGTTTGGGGCATCTCCCTACCTTTCCTAGGAGAGCCCATTTTCAATTACAAGGATTTCTTGAAATACCATTATTAAAATATAATGGGGATGGTATAAATGCTCTTTAAGAAGGTATTCTGTCATGTACTTTTGCATAGTTCTGCATTAAAGTATTAAATAATAAAGCTAGCATTTCACTTAGTAAATGTTAGCATTTTGTGCACAAATGTTCACACATCTGCATATAATAGAATATAAGGTATGCATTTGATAGCCCATTTGGACATACAAGCAACAAAGGCACTTTTGAAGTTTGCCTTTATTGCTTCAGAGTTTCATTTATATCATATATTAAAAGCCAAAGTAGTCAAAACACACCAGGATTCTGTACTTTGAAACTAAATGAATGAGACATTCTACCATCTGTGCACAGTTAGTCTATCACATTTACAACAGTGCTACTACATTATTAATAAAAGTCTGAAAGTAGATTGAAAGTATCATTTTTAAGCCAAATCTCTCCAAACAACAATTTGGTACCAAAATCTTTGAATTCAATTTATTCTTTTCTTTCAATTACTATTTAAGAAACAGTAACATCTGCAGTACCTCCATTTTTCTGAGAATATCAGAATCTTACCAGGCATAATAATCTCAGGAAAACCCATTTTTCGAGCCACAGCTGTGGATCTATCAACTAGATGAGGAAATTCTTTCCTTATCTGGTGAATATCTCCTGGAAGAAGTTTCAGTGTCACCCATAAACCTGTAATAATAAGTACAAAATGCTGTTTAGGAAACCTTTAGGGGGGAAGCTTCAAGTGCAAATCCACCTCAACAGTTCTTAAATTTGTTTTAATAATAATAAACAGAGAAATGTATAAACAAGGAAACATCTAACCATTACTGCCACCAAACCGTGCAAACTTCATACAAGGAAAACAACTTTAATATTCCAGTTCTAAAACAAATAAAAGGCATTTGTTCAAAAGAAAAAGAGGAATATACGAGTATAGAAAGGCTAATATTTTTTCATGCCAAGGCAAATATATGACTATATGGTTAAGAAATAAGAATCAGGCAAGGAAGGTTACATGCTTTAACTTTAAAGCCATCTAAAGAAAGGCCAGTTTTTGAAGAACCAAGTCTAATAAAAAGACAGTTTGGTAGGAGAGTCTCTAGATTCAATGACATCAGTATCACTGTTGTGGCAGTGGGCCTTACTTTAAGATACAGCTCTTCAGTTAACACCTCCTCAACACTGGCCTACAACTACATCTTTTGCTGAACCTAAGCATCAATACAACATGTGTTACACAAAGGTAGTAGTAAAACAAAGAACCATTTGTCTATATAGCATCCCACAGTCTACATTATTACCTTACCTGATGTTTGAAGGTTAGCCTTTCTCCCAACTAGGAAGCACTTACACACTACTCAGTACTTCTACCCTGCTTCTTTTTAAAAGCTTTGTCCCTCACTTTTGTTTTTCCAAATGCCCAACGTGCCTTTATTCTGCCTTGTGTGCCTACTTTCCAAACCAGTACCAAAGATCAAGTGAGAACACTTTCCTTTACAATTCATTGGTACTTACCTTAAAAAGCGCACATTGACTGCTCCTAGTGTTGTGGAAATTCAAAATGCTCAAGAAACAACAGTAAGCTCCAATACAAAACACAACTACTTTCAACTTTAACAACTGGGGTTTTATATTTCTTCATTTAAGTGGAAGTTATTAAATTAGCTATATTATAGTTCAACGCTCCTTGTTATTTTAAGTCAACATGACATAATGCAGACTTTCAGAACACTGGGTAATGACTGAGTGACTATTTTCTCCCATCGTATGGGCCAATCTGTCATGGATGCTTTGGCAATGGGTAGATCGAGTTTCATTTCAAAGTAGTGAATGAGATGATCCTATGGGATTCATCTACCTTATTAGTTTTGTGGTATATTCACTTTAGCACAAGCTGTGCCAAGTAGCATGCTGAACACGGAGAACTGTTGTTGTTTTTAAGTTTTCAGGCATTTTGACAACTCTGGAAACAAAACAAAAACATTTAAGCCTGCTCTGATTTTTGAAATGCTAACAACAGTGTAAGAAAAAGTTGACAGGTCCCCCCTGGCCTCCGGTGGGGGATCAGAGGGTAGGGTTGCCAGAGGTGGGTTAGGAAACTCCTAGAAATTTGTGGGTAGAGCTTGGGAAGGATATGGACTTCAGTGGGATACACTGCCATAGAGTCCACCCTCCAAAGCATCCATTTTCTCCAGGGAAAGTGATCTCTGTAGTCTGGAGATGAGTTGTAATTCCAGGGGATCCCCAGGTCCCACCTGGAGGCTGGCATCCCTAATGTAAGACAACGGCCTACAACAGGATGACACACATATCCTATGTTAGAAAGTGTTAGAAAGACTTGTGTAAAAAATGGTTAATGCTTCTAATAGGAATGCACATAATGAGGACTGTATCAATATAATAAACATAATCCCAGAAAAGGAAAAGGCCATGATCAAAACCCAATAACCCAGTATAAGACACAACTAGATAAAATGCTATGGGATTTCTGGTGGAACTAAAAGTTACAACTTCCAAGCTATTACAGCATTTCTCATGCTAATAAGATACATGAAGCGAAGTACCTACCCTGACCCTTGTGGTTAACTTCTTTAGCAGCAATCACTTTGTTTATTACAGTCTGAAGGAAATCATTCTCCCCTGCCACCCTGGGTGAAAAACGGGATGATATGTTCAGCTGCTTGTGTCGAATGGCGTTATCCAAGGCTAGCCTGGAGGATGCACATGATGACCAACACCAAAAGGAAACAAAGGTGGGGGACAGAAAACCAGAAGTCACAGTAACAAGGAAATACAAGAGAGTATCATGTAGTTGACAAAGAGTGTTCATTAGACAACAGAAGACAAAGGATAAGAAAGGGAACAACAGAGACAGGAAGATAATCAAATCAAGAAAATGTGAACCTAACAAAGAAAAGTAAAGTAAACCTATGATTCTGAGAGCAAACATGTATCAGATTCTAGTTCCATTTTTACAAGCATGTAGAGCAAAGATGAGAAGTCACATATAAAACAATGAAAGACTCAAATGTAATACATTATCCCCATGGAATGCTAAATAACTTGCTTCTGCTGTTACATGAATTAAGTGATAGTTTAATGAGAGTTAACAGACATGGGTAAGCTACTAGAAACAGAAGTCACTTAGAATGGAGAGGCACACAAAATTCATAAAACATTTTTGGTACCACTGCTGAAGATGAAAATAGAAAAGTAATAAACGAAACACACATTTAGAAAACTGGCACTTAATAAGCCAACTTTACAAAGGCCATGTGATGGGTTGTTTTTATTCACTTGAATGGCAACCAGGAACTAACATAGGAAAACAGAAGCTCCAAGTGGTACACACACAAAAAAATCACAGCATAAAACACATAAGAAATAAATGCCACATATATAGAATGCTTAAGTCAACCCTGGGAATGACACTGCTATTCGTCTTAAGCATACATGTTATTCATTTCTGATGCAGATTGTTTTGTGAACAACATATTAATTTACTATGACAAAGAAAAGGGGAAAAGAAAATCAAGGTTCATACTATTATGCATCCTTTCAAAAGATGTATTTGTATATTTTGCTTTAAATTAGATTTAGTACAACAAATAATTTGTAAACATTCCATTAATAACTCAGAAACATATGCTCCCTATGTTTATTCTCATCTATTGAAATATAAGCTTGTATAATAAACGTATAATGAACACAAAACTTTAACAGTACAGTTCACTGCAGAGTTACTACAATTTAAGCCCATTGATATACGTAGGTTTAAACTGGAGTAACCATGCAGAAGACGACATTTTAAGGGAATTTCCCCACCACCACATACACACAGACTTGTATTGACCCTGAGCCACCATTTTTCATTTCTAACCAGGAGGCTTCTAACAATATTAGACATCTATTTATCCATCCCCTAATTTTTTTAATCAAGGCATGAATTTATTGCAACTAAAGTCATCAGCCATATAAACGCTAAGTCACAAACTAATTATTAATTTAGCAAATAAAAAATAATCTTGTCCATCCCACTCTCTCCACTGTTTAAACCAGGTTTCCATGAATTTTTATTTCATTTGCCTGTTCTTTATTTGCTTTTTTATTTTTATCTAAACAGAATATATTAGCACAAAATGCTGCCTATTTACAAACTAAGCACAGCTGAACGGCTTCAGCATCGCCCACAAGATGCATAATTATTGCCCACATTATAAATTATTTGGAGACCAAGTAAGTGCCCAAAAGCATTCAATTGCAAGTTTACGAAAAACCCCAGAAAAGGAAACACCATCTCTCACACTGTGCCAACAAAATGCTTGATTGCTGCCCTTGACAACTAATTTGAAAGAGCAAACTGCATTTCAATATCCCTTAGCTGATCAGCATTCTGACACTTGTCTTGTAGGCTTTACAGAACTTATGTCCAATAAATAGCTATTTTTCCCATTTCTGTCTCTTATGCAGTACCTGCATCCCAAATCGGAGATTTACATGCACATGGATCTGTTCTGCACATGAAGGTTCCTATTAATTTCAGGGGAAGTGGCCAGATTCTACAAAGGTACAACATAAGTTCCACCCACTGAAATGTGAAGTCCCTCCAAGTGGGGGAGATCTATGAGAACACCAGATCTCCCATTCCCAGCACAAATCACTGGATAGCAGAGTTTCAAACTTAGACTATGACATAGTTAAGTTGTCTGCTGTTCAAAGTTTTAAAAAATCCCACTAACTGCACATAAACTGTGACACATTGCACCACAGTGAGACATGGCACTAAGAGTTACATTCACTTGGAAAACAGGCTGTATACATCTGTGAAACATTCAATATGCCCCCTACCTTAACACTAAATGTTAAAGATAGCTAGAAATTATGCATGGCAGTTTGAAATTGACTCTTATAACTGTATGACTAAATTTTTAACCTAATCAACTAGCTGTAAACTAAACAGAAAATGTCTCTAAAATAAGTGATTTATTCCTAATTTGGTATGGTATTCGAAGTTAGCGTAACATAATTTCCTTCACTTTCTTAGTCTTTCCATTATCAAAACCATCTGAGCTAAATTTTAATCTAGGAAAGTCACAGTCCTTTATAATACATTTCTAAAAGTCACCTCTGACATTTCTTTGTGTATTTCTTTGTACTTACGACTGAAATGGAATGAAATGTTGCTTGTCCTCATCATCTACTTTCCCATTAATTATGTCAGTTACATCCATTACTGAAATCAAAAAGAAACGGCATTAAAGCGATCGACATCTAAAAGAAACTGAGTGACAAAGACGAGTAAAGACATCTTTGTACCTCATGACAGGCATTACGAACTGCTTTGTGGCAAAATATATTCTTATGTTAAAAGATAACCAGATAATTTTTCACATTAGTGAAAAGAGGAGAATCTTCTGAAGCTATAATGGATATGAATGTATGCATTTGTATGTCACCAACTGGAATATGTTACAATTGATCACAGTGGAATAAATGCACAATCTCACAGAAGATACTGCAAGACTAAAGAACATAACATCTATTAGAAAAAAATGCCCAAGATCTCTTTTCTGAAATATTTAAGAGTATTCAGTTATAGGCACACAGTGAATATGCATGCAATATCTTCAGAAAGGTATTTCAATATCCAGCTCAATGCTTGAAACAGTCTTTATGTAGAGTGCTGAATTCAACAAGGCTACTCATCCTACATCAGACATGGGATAATATAGCCAGTACACACTATGACCTTGAAAAGGGATAGATTCTGTCAGTTAGGATAGCCAGGGTATCTGCATGACAGTATATAATAACTCCAGGGCTGTAACTCAAGCCCAAACCTTAAGACCAAAAAGCATTAGCCAAAAGAGAGAATCGACATATCACTATGAACATGCCAAACCAAGAATGTGCCAGTCTTGCAGTGATATCCAAGGAGGATGGCTGGGTGGTTAATGAGAATGTTCTTCCTATGAATGTTGCCAGTATCCAAGGCACGGAAAGCCATCCAGTCTCATCAAATCAGTGCCATGTTGACACTGGCACCATTCTCACTATACTTAATTTCAGAACCCATGACTTCCTAACTGCTTCTAGAACCTGAATGATCAAAACAGACTCCACTCTACTCCCTACCTGAGGTCAGGTAAGAAAGCAACACTGGATCCTTACATTCCAAGGCAATCCATTTTACAAAGAGAGGTTTGACATGGCAATATAACAGGATTCACACCAAGACTTCATTTGAGGGCAGTTACCTCCTGTACAGCCCAAGCAATACTTGATACGTTTGAGGGCAGTTACCTCACTCCTGTACAGCCCAAGCAATACTTGATAATTGATCTTGCCAATAGGATAGCTGAACGAGTGCTGAACCCATTTACAAAACCAGACATCACATGGATTTCAAGTATCTATCCCAAGTAGTTACCCTTGAGAAGTGCTATATTTTTTCAGATTCATCTATATCACATCAGATTTCAGTCCTACCACCTAATAAATGCTGCCTGCTATTCTGGCAAGCTACTAAGCCAATTTTATTTCTTTATTTCGACTTTTCAACCACTCTCCCCTGGTAAACCAGGCTCATGTGGGTTTACCAATATAGCTTATTGTGGGTCTACCTTTCAAGGCTATAATTACTGACAGGGAAAACAATAAGAAGTCATTCTGTAGACTATTTAGATTATCAGACCTACAAAAGTTTCCCTACAGCAAACACGTAAAGTGCAACAGAAATATTTAAAAACGTAAATATGTGAAGTCAGTAGTTCTTCAGCACTGAGCAGCTGCTCTAATGTGCAGCTCATTTGGACAGTCTACTTAAAGAGAACGGATTACCTGCTACACCAAAAGGTCGCCTTAGGCCAGAGGTTAGTTTTCTTGTGTTGTTGTCTCTCAGTTCCATTCTGCCTACTCGTACGATCTGACAAACAAAACTGATTTTCTCTCTTTTTAGGTCTTTGCTGCCAAGGTCCTAGAAGTATAAAGTTTTCATAATTTACTTTACAAATCACATTCATATTCCCCTTGAGAGTATGAAAAGAAGATTACTGTTTGTCATACTGTTTGCCATTCAGTTTCCTCAGATGCTACCCTCTGAACATTCAAGTTGATACTTACATGGAAATGCTATAAATGGCATTACAGAATCATAAACCAGTTTAAAAATCTATTTCCTGAACAAGTGTCAAAAAGCATTCCAAAGTGAAAGGGGTGTGTGTGTGTGTGTGTTGTTTTTTTAAGAGATCAGAAGCATAAAACAGTCAGATTTTCATAACCGGGGAAAGCACTTAAGAGTCAAACTAAAGTCACATGAAATTTTATAAGACAGAATCCAGCATTATATTGCCTTTAGGTCCCATCTTGTCAACCGGTCTCCTTCAGTCAAGAAATCCTGAAGGAAAAGCAAATGAACCTGCATAGAGTTGGGAAAGGAGACAATCCACATACACCATCTTTCCTGTAAACAACCCAGGTACCTTACTAAACATTAAAGAAACTGCAAATACAGAAAGAAAACTTACTGTGAAAACTGCTCGAAGATTGTGTAACCTGTCTATGTCTTTTGGTAGCCCAGAACTTGACCACCTGACCAGATAGTTTTCACTATAAAACAGAAAACAATTTGTTTAAGTCTAAGTTTAAGTTTCAGCAATGCATTGCAAACCACTTTACATTACATTACAAGTAATCTTTGAACAGGTAAACTGGATTTTGTTCAGTAAAGTAGTTGTTGACAACAGTATCTTTTATGTATGTATGTATGTATGTATGTATGTATGTATGTATGTATGTATGTATGTGTGTACATGTATTATACACAGCAGCAGCAAGTAGACAGATTAGGGTTTTTTAGCACAGGGGAATCTAAGGTGTACTGTATTATATTCCAGATCACAATGCAACCAGGCATAATAGTCGACTTTTCAAAATTTAAACCTGTCTTGAAAACCTATCCTAGCAGCCACCATATCCCAGTAAACTGACAGTAATTTACAATTATTTCAGCTGGCCAACAGCTACCAGAAAAGAATGAATGAATAAAACACACACATTAACATTTACCACCAGAAGGGATATTCAGTCCATATGGTGGAAATCAGGTGATTGTATTTGTAAAAATGTTTGGCAAGCAGATGGAAGGAATGACAGTCAAGCAACGTGTGTTTAATAGTTAAGGAGCATAGCAAGACACATACATCAGCAGGGACTGTCTCCTTTTCCACGTGTGCTAAGGTATATAGATTCCATAATATTCAGTTCTCAGCTAAGCAAGGTCAATTTCCTTCCTGCACTTCCTAAGGGATGTAATTTGACTATAATAAAAATGCTGGCTTGAGCTTAAGAACTTCATTGTTCTGGCAATTCCACATATACTGCAACATCAATTAGACAAAATGGGGACAAAAGCTTATCCTCTTGGCAGCAGCCTTTAATTCTAACATGCCCAAGAATACACATACACACACACACACACAAAAACAAACATGACAAGCAAGATCAGAAGGAACCTCTAACTGAGAAAAGATGACAGAAAGCAACTGGTATGAGCTGAAGGACCAAGCAACAGTAGGAAATTCCAGAACAGGAGTTTACTTCCTTCTAATATTTAATTGGGCTGCTGAAGAACTGTACTGTGAGAGACACTCTGTGGGATTTTTGGGTTTTTTTTTAATTTATATTTATATTCCGCCCTCCCCGCCATTTGGCAGGCTCTGGGAGAGTTTGGGGGATTTCTTCCATGCACAACCAGAAAGGATTTGAAATATGTCACAGAGCCGGTTGAGATCATCTTCGCAAGTGCCGCTAACTAAGGTGGGTGGTAACCAGAGGCAGGGCTTTTCCATTGATGGCACCTTGCCTTTGGAATGCCCTCCCCCTTGTGACTACTGTACTCTCCTTTAGGTACCAAGCTAAAACATTGTTCATTATCTACACTTTTAACTAAACAGTTCCCTCTTTTTAGATATTTTATAGTCTGTTCCTAGCCCAAGGGCTGTTTTATCAATGTAAATTTAGACTGCTCTGTTTTACATAGTGCTATGCCTTGGATTACTTTTATTAGCTCTTGTTATTGACATAATTTCTTTATGTTTTTACTGGAATTACTTGTGTTTACTGAGCTTAGTTTTGTTTTATTGTTGTGAGTTGCCTCAAGGAGTATGGAATAAATACAAATTTTAAATCATTCATTTTTTAAACTTCATGAGCTTTCAATAAAGTTATAATAACTATAATCAACCAACAAAAATAAACAAATTATCAGCTTTACATTAAACATTAAAAGCTTAAAACTTAGACTACAACCATGATGTGGTGCAGCAAATTTTGGAAAGTTTAAAAATATTACCATAACCTCAATAATGGTAGGAACATTTATACAATTGCCATATGAAAACAGAACACTACTCTTTTGTGCTTGTTGATTCTTCTGCTGTCTAAGAAAATTCACTCTCTCTTTTTTTTTTTAGAAATCTATAGAATATGCTGAGATGTTGACTATTTTCCACTGAGGGTTTTTTATTGGTTTTCCATATTGGATAGGATAGTAAACATAACAACATCTAACTGAGGGCTAAAAATCATTCATATCTTTAAGAGACTTTAATATTAATCATCTTTTATATTAATCACCATTCTTCTTACTTTAAAGAGGGGAACCAGAGAGATCTTGCTTGTCTTGTGGTTCAGTACCACTTTGCATTGGCATCAGAACAAAGTTTGAGTCCGGTGGCACCATCAAGACCAACAAAGTTTTATTGCTTTTGTGTGCAAGCACACTTCTTCAGATATGGGCATCAGTAGCTTTTGTGAGCCCGTAAACTTAATGAAGTAATGACGATTTAGTATTAGCAGAACAGTCAAGATTAAAGACAGGAAACTGATATAAGAAGGGAAGGCTTAAATATTAAACTAAGAAATATGTACAAACCTCAGAAAAGTATTTATTTGAAGGGGGGGTCTCTCTTGCACAGAGCATATATATGGGAATGAGAGGAGATGGATACTCAAAGTGCATTATAAACCCTCAAATCTTTATACCACATTTTTGAGATCTTCACAAACTGGGCTACCAAGAACAAGTAACTCTCTCCCCCAATGCCCCACCACAACATTTGTTTTAAAGAAAGTTTTAAAATGTATATATTCATATGAATAGTCCTGGGCCCTCTGTATTACACAGGTTCTATATTTAACAATAAACCAAAACAAAATCCATAAAAGTACTGCACATTACAGAAGAGAGGCTGGAAACAGCTCATCTCTTGTTTCAGTTCATCCTTGTTGTGATAAGGTGGAGGCCATCCATGTTGTGATAAGGTGGAGGCCATCTTAGCTGCTCCAACCCTTCACCACCTGCATTCTCACTTAACAAGTCAGGCAAACACAGTTCCTCCCCCTCAGCAGCCTTCACTGGGAACATATGGCTGGCCGTTTCTTGAAACAACTTCAAATGGTTGACGTGAACAATTTGAGTCATTTTATGTGGGCCCATTTCCGGGATCAAGTAATGATCCTTCTCCGATTTTCGTAACATACAATACCTTCAACTTGGCTACATGATCTGGTTTCAAGACTAGGACTTTATCCTTAACAGCCAGACTCCTCAGCTTAACATGCTGATCATAATAGTCCTTCTGTTGGACTTGGGCAAGCTTAAGGAACTCCCCAGCCACTGTCTTGACCTGCTCCAATGTCTGTTCTAGCTTTGCAAGATATTCTGTGGCACTAGAGGGGCATTCTGACATCTTGCTCCCCTCCCAAGATGCTTTTAGTAGTTGCAGGACAACAGTAATCCTTCTTCCAAAAATTAACTCATTATTGGAGTGCCATCCCAGGCTGGCTGTAGGAGCATCCCTGACGGCAAACACTAGATAAGGGAGTGCCCCGTCCCAATATCCCAGGTGCTCCCGGACACCAATGGCTCTTCGTTTATTTTAGAGGAGTTTTCAGGGAATCCCGATCTCCACTGGACCTCTTGAAGTGAGGTGTGGTGCAAGGGACTTGATTCGGGGGGAGCCACTTATGGTACGAGTGGGTGGATGCTCTGGATTATCCCAGAAGCAAGCAACGATGGTATTATAGAACAAGTATGAATCTCTAGGCTAGAGAAGTATATTGAAAAGTGTTAATTAAAGATATAAATAAGATTGGCTTAAGGATCCCAGGAGGCTGTAGAACTGGGGAAGAATATATAGGGAATATATGTAGGTTTAGAAAACCCTTTTAAAAGACAGAGTATTACCAAAATGTGAAATAATGTAATGTGATAGTTATGTTATAGAATTTAGAATATATAGAAAAAGAAAGTATGTGATTATGAAGCTGGGGAATGGTATAAATTTAGTTAATAGTTAAATATATATATTTTAGAAGACTATTATAGAATGTTCACACAATGTAGTAATAGAAGGAAATATGTTTTGTTAATTAATAAACTTGTAAAACTCTAGATGTGTGCATTTTAAGAGCCATAATGATAGAACGGGTTAGATAAAATATTGGCTTATTACATATAGATTTGCAAAAATGTTGGGCGTTGGGAATTTGGTAATTAGATACTAATGTTACTGTATGAGGTTTTTTTAAGAGATATGATGTTGTTGATACTCTCATGTATGTTTTGTTTGTTTGGTTGTCTGTTTGTTAAAAATAATAAACAATTATTATAATTTTTATCCAAGTTGAATGCCACCCTGCTTCTACTTTGTATACCTTTAAACCACTTTACATGAAACAGCGGGGGGGGGGGGGTTGATCAATAGAACATTCCTAAGCACCTGATCTAGAGAGGATTCCATGGCATAAGATACTCCCCTCTACCTGTTTAAGGTCTTGTTCTCTGGGTCCTATGCAGACATTCTGGAATGCCCCAGTTTAGTCCCAGAGTAGAATATAATCACTTAAACAAGTACAAGGAGGATTCAGAGCACTTCCCCATATCAGCAAACATGAATGGTAATTAGCCAAAAAGGAAGCTGCATTTGAAATACTGACAGCACAGGGTGGGATAAAAGGAAGAAGTACAATATTTGTGCATCAAATATTCTTCCATTTGGAAGCTGCTAAGAGAAAATCCACAAATGTATCCAAAATTAGGCTGCACTTTTCCTTCCATTGCCTATTACCAATGGAAACAGATGTGGTTCTCACTTGGACAGAAAGGAGTAGGGGATGCAGAAGGCAGAACCTCTGGATGAGGGTGGAAATAGGACAATAATACAGAAAGGAAATCAGTCATCCACTCACTGAACTGTTCTCTAAAACCCAGAGATACCCTGCCCAGAGCTATTTTTGGGCAGGAACGCACAGGAACGGAGTTCCGGTTGGCTCCCAAGTTGGCCACGCCCAGCAGGAACTCATTAGCATAATAGGCCACACCCAACAGCAGAAACTCATTAGGATTGACTACAATTAGGGGTGTGTGGCCTAACATGCAAAAAGCCCTGGGTTTTGACAACAAACAAGGTAAATAGAATAAGAAGCAAAAGGTAGGTGTGGCTGGATGACCACACTTCTGGTGACATGGGGGTGTGGCCTACTATGCAAATGAGCTGTGCTGTCAGGGTGTGGCCTAATATGCTAATGAATTCCTGCTTTTGGGTA